ATATGTTAGACTTTAGCTCAGTCCAGTTAGACAAAGATTTGTCTTATGTTGAGGAGCCCGTGACTATTTTGGACAGGCAGGTCCGAAAGTTGAGGTCGAACATTGCTTCAGTGAAGGTTCAGTGGAGGGGTCAACAAGTCGAGGAGGAGACTTGGGAGGACGAGCATGATATGCATAGCCGCTATCCTCGTCTTTTCACCACTTCAGGTATGTCTCTTTTCTCGTTCGAGGAAGAATGTTTGTTTTAAGAAGGGGAGGATGTAATGACCCAGCTGGCCGTTTTGAGTATTTAGCCCTGATCCCCTATTTATTGCCTCATCTATGTTGTATTATGGTTACGTGACTTGCCGGGGGTGTTTGGTTTTGGTTTTGGGTGAGTTTCGGAGTGAAATGGGATATATAGTCCCTAAGTTGGAGCTTTATGTTGGAAGAGTTGACTGTAGTTTGACTTTAGTGCAGATGGCTCCGTAATGGAGTTTTGACAGCTCCAATAGCTCCGTATGGTGATTTTAGACTTAGGAGCGTGTCCGGGTGTTGATTTGGAGGTCTGTAGGTCGTTTCGGCGTAAATTGGCGAAAGCTGAAAAGTTGAAGGTTTGGAAGGTTGAAACATTTGACCGGGAGTTGACTTTATTGATATTGGGGTCGGATTCCATTTCTGGAAGTTGGAATAGGTCCGTCATGTTATTTATGACTTGTGTGCAAAATTTTAAGTCAATCGGAGCTGGTTTGGTATGAATCAGCTTTTGTTTTGGAATTCGGAAGTTCATAGTTTCATAGGCTTGAATTAGGTTGTGATTCGTAGAATCGATGTTGTTTGACATGATTTTTGGCCTCGAGTGGGTCCGTCATGTGTTTTGGAACCTGTTGGTATTTTCGGACGGGGTCACGGAGGGCCCCGGGTGTGATTCGGATTGAATCCGGAACAAGTTTGGACCTTGTGTGATTGCTGAAGGTTGATGTGTCTGGTGCAATTGCAGAAGCACATTTTGGGTCGTAGGTATGGCACCGCAAGAGCAACCCCTGAGCCGCCAAAGAGAAAGTGTCCTTGCCCAGCTGGGACCGCAGGTGGGGTCATTTGTCCGCAGAAGCGAACTCGTAGATGCGGAGGTGGACATCGCAGAAGCAGAAATTGGGAAGGCATTGGGCAGGACCGCAAGTGCGGTCATTTTTCTCTGTAGAAGCGAGATCGCAAGTGCGAGCATTTGTCCGTAGAAGCAGAACCTCTGAGCCTAAGTTGGAACCGCACCTGCGATGGATTTTTCGCAGGTGCGGCATCGCAGGTACGACTCCAGGCCCGCTGAAGCAAGGATCGCTGGGCAGAAAATGGGTTTCGACGATTTGAGTTTCATTTTTATATTTTGGACTTAGAGAGCTCGTTTATGGCAATGTTTCGAGAGTTTTTCAAGGAAATCATTGGGGTAAGTGATTCTAACCCGGATTTGACTATATATCATAAATATATTATTATTTTTATCATCTAATTAGTGATTTGAGTTGGAAATTTGGGGAAAAATTGTGAAGACTTCCTAGACTAAATTTTGTGGTTTTGAAAGGCGATTTGAGGTCGGATTTGAGTAATTCTTGTATAGTTGGACTCGTTATTGAATGGGTGTTCGGATTTTATAATTTTGGTCAGGTTCCGAGATACGAGCCCGGGTTCAAAATAGTTTTCTATAGTTTATATTTATGGTATGAAATTTTTTTGGGTAGATTTGAGCCGTTCGGAGTTGGATAATCGAGGAAAAGGCCTACTAGTTGGTTGAGTTAGCGTGTTTTGAGGTAAGTGTCTTGTCTAACTTTGTGTGGGAGAATTACCCCTTAGGATTGGTGTTGGTTTGTGATAATGGTGATATGTGAAAGCCGTGTACGCAAGGTGACGAGTGTGTACACGGGCTAAATGTGGAAATTTATCGGTTTTAGCTTTGTGGATTATTTTCATGTTGAGTTACCTTAACATGTTATATTCATCATCATTAGGCTATCTTCACTTGCTCTACTTGTCTTATCTCTTATTTGTTAATTGCCCAGCATGTTTAGTTGAAGTTGTTAGTTTCTCTATTCCTTATTCTTTATTTAACCGTGAATTCTTTACCTGAAGTTGTTATTCTTGGAATATCTTATTGTTGAAACTGTTATTGAGTTATAAAGGTCGTGATTCATATTGAGGCAAAGTGCTAAGTTGTGAAATACTATTCTGTTGAGTTATTCACTTCCGGTTGTTATTATTGAGACTCTTGTGTACATTATGGTTGAGCCACGGGCTATTTATTGTAAAAATGGGCACTTGAGGTGTGAATTTGTGATACGTTGTGATATTGATACGTATCCGGTGGTATAAGGTTTTGGGGTTGAAACGCATACGGTGAGATAAGGTGGGCTTGAGCGTGTTGCTAGTAGGGGAACTACTTGAAGTCATGCGGTGTGATAAGGTGGGCTAAAACGCGGGAAGCTATTTCGGAAAAATAATTTTCAAAACTAAATGCAAGGCTCCCGTGGTGATATAAGGAAATATTGAGACTTGTTTGTGATTGAGACTACGAGGCGGTACCTCGGTAGTGGCCCTTGTTGATACTTCTCTATTACTTCACTTGCGTTTGGCTGTTTTGTTCCCTTGTTATAACATTTCTTGTTTTCTTCTGTGATGCATTATTTGCCTTAGTTCAGTGTAGCTATTCTTGGTGTATGTCTTTAATTGTCTCATTTCTAATGTTATCATTAGTTCACTGTTATACACTTGTTCAGTTTCTTATTTATTCCAGTAGGGCCTTGACCTGACCTCGTCACTAGTCTACCGAGGTTAGGCTTGACACATACTAGGTATCGTTGTTGTGTACTCATGTTATGCTTCTACACATCTTTTTGTGCAGATCTAGGTACCTCATACCAGTCTAGGCACTAGCGAGAGCTCAGCTTTGGAGACTTCAAGGTATACCTGCTGGCGTCCGCAAGTCTCGGAGTCCCCTCTACCTAGATTACTTTATTTCCTTATCCTTTTATAGACATTGATGTATAGAGATATTCTATATCACTTCATAGAGCTTGTGACTTGTATCCGCCGGGGTTTGGAAAGTTGTAAATGCTGAGTTGCTGAGTTTATTTTATATTAATTATTGAGTTATGGAGGCTTTAATTATTATTTCAGTTATTTCTGCATGAATGTTAGGCTTACCTAGTCTTAGAGACTAGGTGTTATCACGGCATTCTACGGAGAAAAATTGGGGCCGTGACATAAATCATGGTATAGTTTGTTAGAGTACGTTAAATTGTATATCCAATATTCTTGGTATATCAATTTGCTGTTGAATCGTGGTACTCTTAATATTTTTAGTATACTATATATTGGTATACCATAATTAGTATTATACCAAATTTTAATATTCACCTATTTAACTAGAAAGAATAAAAAAAAAAGGTAAAAATGAGTGACAAATATCATTTTAAAAAAGCCTTAAGAGTGACACTGTAACTATCGATAACTTAATCGATTAATAATTGTGTAGAAAGTATTTCAATACTAATTTTAGGACTAGGTTATTTATCTAGAAAGAACAAAACCAAATCTAAAAGTGGAATAAAGTGATAAAAATATTAACGGAGAAATTTTACTGAAAAAATTAATTGAAAAAACTACGATAAAAAATAAGAATTATAAGGGGAAAACGTGACAAATGTTTTGAACGAAAAATTTCTTAGAAAATTACAAAAAAATAATATGCACAAATATCAAAATAAAAAATTAAAATAAGAAAAAGAGTAACATGTAACTCTCGGTAATCATAATTGATTACTAATTGTGTACAAAGTATCTCAATACATATTTTAAGACTCGATTATTTATTTCAATAAATAAATAAAAACAAAAGTGAAAGAAAGTGATCATAATTTTTGGCGGAAGAATCTTAGTGAAAAATAACAGAAAAAATTAAGATGAAAGTTAATAATGAAAAGAAAAAAATGTGACAAAATGTTTTGGAGGGAAAGATTTTAGTGGAAAGAATAAAATAAGATAAAAAAAATAGAAAAAAATAAAAAATCTAGATAAAAAATAAAGTAAAAAAGAGTGAGGAGGTTACTACTAGAAAGAGTAAAAAAAAAAAGAATAAAAAGATAAAAAGAGAAAATAACTACAAAAAAATGAATGAGAGTGCATAAGTTTTTAAAAAGAAAACAAAAAAGTGAAAAAAATAACAACAAAATACGAAAATAATAAAAAAAAGTAAAAAAGAAAAAAAAACCTGAAAAAAAAATAAAGAAAAGAAGGAGAAGGGCCTTTGTAAAGCCTAGCCCCTATGCATAAAAAATAGGGGGCAACCTGGTCTTAAAATTTTCGAAAGGGACACGTTGTCTTTTTTCAGAAAGTGTAGCACTTTGGTCATTAAGTCTTTAAAATGAGCTTTAAGTGTCATTCTCTCTAAAATTTACTTTTATTCAGCTAATCCAAACAGACTCTTTTGTTATTTTGAGATATTTAGATGTGAAATACTTCAGCTCATTTCTTTTGCTAACCTTTTTTCTTTTGTTTCGGTTTTTTTAAAGACAAGACCACCAAGGATTTGGTGGGAATATCGGAGCTCTACTCTTTATCAGATATCTAGACTTTCGAGCCCTTGAAAAGAAAAAAAGTTACTAGAAGGGAACATTTATCTTTTAAATGGGACTTATGCGAAGCAAATTCGGATTAGCCGGGGTCCCAAAACAAGTTCCGAACAACGGGTAAAAAAACAAAAAAAAAAGTTAGTTAAAAAAAGGGAAGAAAACAAGAAAACAGCAATGACGGGTTGGTGAGATCTCCTACAACGAAAATTTTAAGTCTACATTTACTGCTGGGATAGATATGCACTTGATGAAGAGGGTCAGACACAATGACCAAGTTTCTGATGGGAAATTTTGAATTATATATTCCACATTTTCTCTGAGTAAATGTAGACTTGAAACTGCTCTGGTTGGAAATGGATGTGCGTGCGCTATAGTACCATTTGGAACTGCATAACACACAAGTTTTCACTCACACAGGGCAAAGGTATTTATATCATTATCACCTTTGAATAGTCACTTTTGAGAATTATTGAAGATATGTCCGACAATATACTAATGAGTTAACTTAATCAAAGCTTACTGGCATGTATAGAAAGAAGTATGTTACATGTGTGACAATTCTTCATTCCTTTGCCTCAGCAGCTTGCTGACACAACACAACTGTAAGAGTCACAAGAGAAGCATAAAGAGAAGTGGGCATCTTCTGAACCACCTTTCCAACACCAGGGACTCCCTCCGTTGACCTCTTCGTTAGCAGAGCGACAGTTGGTGCTACTGCCAACGCAATGATTAGTCCCTGACTCACCAATTTAAAAGTATCCTTTGTTAATTTTCTAATAAATTTGACAAATTCTTCTCGGTCCAGTTCTCCATCAAGGTTGATATCGCACTCCTGTGAATGACAAGTATGAAACACTACTGTTAAGACTTTGTTAAGACTATAATCGAATCAATAGATCAGGACAACCACCTAAATCACATTTTCTTTGGGAAATAGGAAGGAAAAGGGAAGGGAAACTGGGATTTGTCATACAACTTTATCTCAAGGGATCTGCATGAAATAACTTTCCTTCCTCTTTCTTTTAACAACCAAAACAAGAAAGCAAAATTTTCTTCCTTACCCTTTTTCCAAACAACTTTGAAGGAAGCAGGAAGAAGTAAAGTTTCCAAAAAAGCATATACACATGCTTGCATTCCATATTAGCTTTATAATACACGATAAAACTTAGAACCAACGATAAATACTTGGCAATGTTTAGAGTGTTGTGCTGAATACCCAGGGTCCGGAAAAAATCAATTATTTTACAAGCATTTAGAATGATTTAAGTATTAACATCAAATCTGGAGAAGAAAAAAAATGGATTATCAGTTACTTTAAAGTACAATCCCATCTCTCATCAATATAGGAGTTGAATCAATTTTTATTGGGATATCTTTCTCTTCCAAAATTTACATTTGAAATTTAATAAAGCTAAACGATGTTTTATAAAGGCTCAAAGTAAATAAGTACTATTTTTCTAAGATGGAATGTTGAATGAACCCTTTTTAGAACTAATATCCATCATTACGGCAATACTTCAAAGTGTGATTAGAATAGTTTAGGCACATCACAATCAAATCGACCTAACTGAACATCAGAAGTAGAAGACTGGTCTATCAGCTGACTGAGACATACCTGCATCAGGGCTCTAACTTCATCTTTTGTAGGAGGATCAAAATGAGGTCCGGGCAAACGTTTATTAATATCACTGAAATAACATAAGTGATTAAAAAAATCAAGTGTAGCACCTTCCAAGTTATAAACAATTAACAAACCTCTATAATGTTCTGTAGAAGGTAAGTGAGGAACAGAGCAATCTTACTTGTAGACAAGTAATACAGCAATATAGAGGTCTTCAAACTTCAGATTTGCTCTTCCTGATTCATTTTTGAAATGGTCAAAGACCTTGTCTGTTATTTTTCGTATTTTTGTCTCTCTCCACTGCTTACCTGCATGAGGTAAATAGGTTTGCATTGTCTTAACATAGTTAGGTAAGCTCCATGCCAATATGACCAGCCTAACTGCAGAATCGGTTGCTGATATAGGTCTATTTAGCGCTGCACATGAGTTACTGGATAATTTATTTATCTCCGTTCGTCACATTGCTGATAAATTCTCTAATATATGGCACAAGGGGAGTATCTTTTAAGGCCTCTTTCCTAAATTGGAGAGTATTCAAAATAAAATTCCACTTGATGATATTATTCTAGATTTAGACAAAACATTGTGTCCAAATGCACTTGTTGCTCTGCTGCCAAGATTGAGACTACAAAGCATGTTTTCATGGAAAGCTAGTATGCTACCAGAATATGGTCTTACTTTAACAGGGCAATGGTATTCAAACTGGAAATCAATGTTGTCAAAGGCGAAAAGCTTTAAAAAGCGGTCAAGTCTATCGGAGCTTTAAGCATAAAGCGCAAATAAAGTGTGGGCTTTAGTTAAAAAAGGCGCAACGAAGAAAAAAATAAAAATATATATGTAATGCAAGAAAGCAGTGACAATTTCATTCATAATGATTTCCTCAACGATTAATATAGCTTTTTGCCAATCATATTTATTGTTTTGTACCGCTTTATTTATTCAAAATAGACCTTATAGGCACTGAGGCGCACACCCCAATGCCTTGCCTACACTGAAACGCAGCCTAAGTGAGGCAAAGCGCATACCCTGAGCTTTTTTGAGTTTCAGTGCTTAAGCGCGCCTCAAATGAGCCTTTGACAACACTGCTGGTAATCACTCAAAAGACTCTCTTTTGAAGATTCTTCCTTCATTTACTATCTGGAAAGCTATCAATGACGTTGTTTTTTATCTGAAGATCACCATTCCCTCGAGTCAACTTGAGCACTAGTTGGAAGGACCTATATGAGAAGGCTGACAGTTTTAAACCAAGGATCACTTGTAATCCAGTCTACTGGAATAAGCCACAAATAAATTATGTAAAGCGATGGCAGTTCTATGACTAATGATCACAAAAGAGGTGCTGGAGTATTTCTAAGGAATCACTTAGGCAACATGATCTCATGGCCTTTTCAGTTTCTATGACTACTGAACTAACAACATAGCTGAAGCCTTCTTCCTTGTTTGTTTTTTCATTTTTGTATTGGGGGTTAGGTTTTATGTTCCCCTCCATTGTAATCCCTTTTGATTAATAAACAACTGGTTGAGTGGATTAAAGTTTAAAATAAGTAATTTTACTTTTAACAGCAAGTGCATGCACATGGCTAACTACTGAAGAAAAGCAATCACATAACTATTCAAAACATAAAGTAAAAGGAGAGAATGACCACATTCGTAAAAGATGTATAATGACTGTTAAAGACAACTGAAAAGGGTAAAATATACTTTTCCAGAATAAGTTGCTCATGAAATGATAAGATCACAAATTCGACTAGAAGTGAATATAGTAGTAGCTTGAAACTTTCTAGATTGATAATTTGATATCATAAATTACGATAAAGTTCTATAATGCTCCAGGACAGGATATCTTTGATTCTTAACGTAGTCCACATAACATATAAAAATGAGGAAAATTACTTTCCGAGATTAGAATAGTGGCACTCCGAAATCCTTTAAAAAAAGAAAAGAGTCTGACTCAGAAATTACATAAGAAACTATCATAGCTACTATTGTTTCCCAAAGCCATTTACATATCCTTCTCAAAGGTCTAATATATGTATCGTCTATATATTGAATCTTCACAAAGTAATTACAAGTAAATATCTATAGCATTAATTGGTAATTTCATATAAATGGTGGACTATAATAAGTTATAAAATCTTTGCATTGTCAGTATGTAGCTTAAATCCAATAATTAATAGTACTATTGAATTTCCGATTCAAAGTAAAAAAAGTCAACGCTTTCCAACCGCACAGTAAACTCAACCTGTTGACTTCATCATATTCCGCAACAATTGAGAAATCCTAAAAACTAGAAGCAATTAGCCTAGTTGGCTGGAAATCAAGAAAAACCTGTTTTTTGATGTTTTAGCAGGTTAAAAGTATTGGATCAGTAAAAAAGTACTCTCCAATACAACCTAGATTAATCTTTAAGACATCAACCTTTTACCCTTTATATCACCAAACTTTTGCAGCTTGAATTAATTACACAACAAATTCTCTAATATAATCCCCCATCTAGTCACTGTTAGAAGGGAGTAATAACCAAACCAAGAAATGGATCCAAAGAAACATGAATATAGATGAATATTTCATGTTAAGAAAATTGAAGTTGAGATGGTTACCTTGGAATTTTTGAAGAATCTGTCCCATGGGTTTGAACTTTTGAAGAAGACTAATGGAAGCTTGCAACAGTAGTGTGATTTTGGTCAACTTGCACAGGGAATAGATACTCCAGAATCCCAGATCCGCATCACGTGAGATCTTTTGTTAGATATCATTGGTGATTTGAAATAAAATAAGTAATTATTTGTAGTAGTCGAAATTTTGGGTCATTCACTTTAATAATTCTAACTCTTTAATCAATGGTTACGTTTTTCCCCATTTAACCATTTTAGATTGAAATGTTAGAGGTAAGGTTATCCCAAGTGAGAATCTTATCACCCCAATATATGCTCTTGGCGATGAATTTAGAGATTACGAGGACTTGTACGACAGACCAAGGATCAAATGGGGGGCTTGACTACGGCTAGAGCTCCTGAAATGGGAGAGAAGTTGTTGGAGATGGGGTCTAGGGGAGTAGCGGTGAGGCTAACAGCATTTGGGTTAGGACAGCTGGTTGTATTCGAGGAGGTTGAAAGAGCTATACGTAAGATGAGCAGGAGAAGAGCATTCGAGTCGGACGAGATCCCAGTTGAATTCTGGAAAACCATGGGTAGGGAAAATTTGGAGTGTCTTACTAGGTTATTTAATGTCATTTTTAGGACGACGAAGATGCCCGAAGAATGAAGACGGAGTACGATGGTCCATTATACAAGAACAAAGGCGATATTCAAAATTGCAACAATTATATGGGTATTAAGCTGTTAAGCTATACTATGAAAATTTGGAAGAGGCTACTAAAGATGAGGGTGAGGAAAGGTGTATCTATTTTTGAGAACCAGTTCGGATACATTATCGAGACGATCGACTACGGAAGTCATTCACTTTATAAGGAGATTAGTAGAGCAGTGTAATGATTCGGCCGGTCGTTTTGAGTGTTGTAGCCCCGTTCCTCCATTTACTGCTTATTTTATGCTAAAGTTTTGTTAGGTGACTTGCCCGAGTAGTTGGTTCGGTTCAGGGGATATTTCGGAATGAGTTGAGACACTTAGTCTCAAGGTTAGAAGCTTAAGTTGAAAAGGTTGGCCGGATATTGACTTATGTGTAAATGGCTCCGGAATGGACTTTGATGGTTCCATTAGCTCTGGTGGGTAATTTTGGACTTATGAGTGTGTACGGATAGTGATTTGGAGGTTCGTAGTTGATTTATGCTTAAAATGGCAAAAGTTGGAAAATTCGAAGTTTTGAAAATTGAGAAGTTTGACCGAGATTTGCCTTTGTGGTTACCAGGCTCGAATTTTGGTTTCAGGAGTTGAAATAGGTCTGTTGTGTCATTTATGACTTGTGTGCAAAATTTGAGGTCAATCAGACGTGATTTGATAGGTTTCGGCATCGATTGTAGAAGTTGGAATTTTTTAGTTTTCATTAGGCTTTAATTGGGATGCGATTCGTATTTTTGATGTTGTTTGATGTGATTTGAGGACTCGACTAATTTCGTATCGTGTTTTAGACATGTTGGTATATTTGGTTGAGGTCCCGGGGGTCTCGGATGGATTTCAGAGGGTTAACGGATTAAAATTTGGACTTGAGAAATAGCTGAAGAGTGCTGGACTAGCATAATCGCACCTGCGGAGTTCATGGTCGTAGGTGCACCCTGGAAGGAAGTGGGCAGTGGTCGCAGGTGCGAGGTTATTTTTCGCACTTGTGTGGACGCAGATACGGCGTTTTGGGCATAGAAGCGGATTTGGGTAAGCTAGGGGAGTTGCGCAGGTGAGAGGGTATTTCCGCACTTGTGAGAGCGCATATGCGAAGAAAGGTGCGCATGTGCAAGCGCAGGAGTCACCGGGAGAACCGCAGAAGCAGAGGATTTGTCGTTTCTCATCACCGCAGATGCGAGTAAGTTGGTCGCAGGTGCGAAAAGCACTGGGCAGAATATAAACGTTGGGTTCTGAAGGTTTTATCATTTACAGACTTTGCAAACTCGAGTTAAGGCGATTTTTGAGAGGGATTTCGAGGGTTTTCTTGAGATTCGAGGCATTCAGAGGCCGTTTCGCGAGGCAAGGGCTTGTTGGAGTAGCAATTTGCAGAGTTTGAGATAGGTAACACTTCAAAACTTGGTTTTGAGTGTATGAAACCCCGAATTACGTATTATGTGATTGATATTGAGGTGACGCACATGCTAGGTGACAAGCGTGTGGGCGTGCACCGTAGCAATTGTGATTTAGTCGATTCCATGGATATGTGTAGCTATCTTATATGAATATTATTATTGTACTCTATGTGTTAGAGCACTTGAGCTGTGATTTATGCTAGAGATCATGCTTAGGCTATGTGCCGGTACTATTGGGACCCACAGTAGTCATTCCTTGCTGTTGAGTTATTTGCTTAATTGCAGTTATGTACTCAGTCGCATTCATCATTGCATATCATATCTTAATCTTTATTACAGTATATTGTCACATCTTGCATCATTGTTTTGGCTGCTTAGCATGAGTGTTATGAGCCCGAGAGACTGTAGAGATTGATAACTGAGTGAGGCCAAGGGCCTGTTTGTGAGTGACATTTATGGGATCAGGCCGCATGCCGCAGCATGCTATATTGATTCATGCCAGGATTTGACTTATTATAGCGCTTGGGCTGGATATGCCATTCCGAAGTTTGCACACCCACAGTGAGTGCATTTGCTATTGATTCATTTGTATTTGAGCTGGAACTGCCTTGAATTTATTTACATTTGGGCTGGATCTGCCCTGGATTTATTTGCATTTGGGTTGGATCCGCCCTGTACAGTGTTGAGTGATTGAATGTGATGAGCGAGAATTGAGAGAGATAGGTTGAGTACTCCGGAAGTGTGAGTACGTGAGGCTTTCATTGTGTTGCATCATATATGATATGCTTATTGGCATGTAAATATAGAGATGTCATATTCCTCATATCATTCATACTTGACATATTTTATCTGTTCCGAGTTTAATTGTTAAACCTGGAAGCATGTCTACATTCCTGTACCGGTATCTATAGATTATGAGTTTCTCTAAGATATTACTATCATATGTTCTGAAAAATTCCGTATTGTTTAATTATGTATTTGGACCGTATTGTTCGGACTCGTCACTGCTTTCAGTCCGAAGGTTAGACTTGTTACTTATTGAGTTGGTTGTACTCATGCTATATCCTGCACTTTGTGTGTAGATCCAGGTATTTTCGGACACGGTGGCTGCTGATTCTCAGAGTTTCAACCGTTCGGAGATTATCGAGGTAGCTGCCTTGGCGTCCGCAAACCTTGACTCTCCTCCCATAACCCTCAATTTTACTTATTTAGTTCTACTTTCTTAGACAGTGTATCAGACTATGTATTTGTATAAATGCTCATGTACTAGTGACACCCGAGTTTTGGGATATTCTGTATTGAGTTGTGAAGTTTCCATTCAGTTTTATGAGACTTTTACTTACTTAAGCTTATTTTCGTATAATTTAAATTTCAAGATGTTGGTATGTGTGAGTTTTGGGCTTGCGTAGTATCATGATAGGCGCCATCACGGCACTTGGGATTTTGGGTCGTGACAAGCAGTAAGGAAAGGAAGAGTGACATACATGTGGTGTTCATTGACCTAGAAAAAGCATACGACAAAGTCCTAAGAGAAGTTCTATGGAGATGCTTAGAGGCTAAAGGTGTACATGTAGTGTACACTAAGGTGATTAAGGACATGTACAATGGAGCCAAGACCCGGGTAAGGACAGTGGGAGGAGATTGGGTCACTTCCTAGTCGAGATGGGGTTGCACTAGGGATCAACTCATAGCCCATTTTTCTTTGCCTTGTTGATGGATGAATTGACGTGTCACATTCAAGGGGAGGTGCCATGGTGCATTCTTTTTGCAGATGACAAAGTACTCGTTGACCAGATGCGAGATGGTATTAATACAAGGCTCGAGATTTATAGACAGACCTTGGAGTCTAAGGATTTCAGGTTGAGCAGGACAAAGACCGAATACTTGAAGTTCAAGTTCAGTAACGTAATTCATGAAGAGGATGTGGAAATGAGACTTGATACACAAGTCATCCCAAATAGAGTAAGTTTCAAGTATCTTAGGTCAATAATCCAAGATAATGACGAGATTGATGATAATGCACACAATATATTAAAGCGAGGTGAATGAAACAAAGGCTCGCATCTGATGTCTTGTGTGATAAGAATATGCCACCAAGACTTAAAGGTAAATTCTATAGAGTGGTGATTAGGCAGACTATGTTGTATGGGTCAAAGTATTAGTCAGTCAAGAGCTCTCATGTCCAGAAGTGTAAAGTAGCAAAAATTAGGATACTGAGATGGATGTGTGGTCATACTAGGAGGGAAAAGATTAGGAATAAAGATATTCGGGACAAGGTAGGAGTGTCCCTAGTAGTAAACAAGATGCGAGAGGCTACCGAACCCTTAAGAAAACTTCACATTCTTGTATTCTTGTCGTGAGAATTTGTTGATTCCAGGAACTAAAATTTTGTTATTCTATTCTCTCACAGATAGTGAGAACACGTGCTCCAAGATCAGGCGAACGGCCACCCGTACCACCAGCTAAGGCCACGAAAGGTCGAGGCCATGGTAGAGGCCGAGGTGCAGCTCGTATAGCAGCTAGAGCAGCACCTGCAGATCCACCTATTGCTCCAGCTCAGGAGCAGGTTCCAGATGTGGTTGATCCAGTGGAGCCAGCTCAGGCACCAACTGTGCCCATTGTGATTCCAGGACTTCAAGAGGCTTTGGCTTAGATATTGACTGTTTGCACTAGCCTTGCTCAGGCGGTTTCTGTTTAGTCTGCGCCAGCCACTTCTAGGCCGGGAGAGGTACTCAGACTCCCACCGACCGTACTCTAGAGCAGGTAGTGCAGGGACTTCAGACACTGGGGGGTACTACCAGCCCAGCCGGTTGCAGTTTCCTAGGGCCAGGTGGGTCCGGTTATGAGTAATGAGGAGCAGAAGAGACAAGAGATTTGGGAGGCTCCAGCCTCCATCATTTAGTGGGGCTAAGTCAGAGGATGCCCAGGACTTCTTGGATAGGTGCCAGCGGATTCGTTGCACGGTGGGTATTCTGGAGACCAGTGGGGTCTCATTTACTACCTCTCAGTTGACCGGGGAAACTTTCAGATGGTGGGAGACCTATGAGAGGAGCAGGCCAGTCGGTGCAGCACCACTTTC